GAACTTAATTTGGTCTTGTATTTAATTTTGCAATTAAGTTTTTGAAATCATTGTATTCCAGTGATGCTATATCGCTATAAGCTCGTTGATCTCTTTTCATCTCCTTTGGTACCTTTTCCCCTGTTTGTGCAACCGAGGAGGAAACTGCTTTTGCAATTTAGCATTACTTTCACCTCAGACACATCGTTTATTGTACTACTCGATTACAAATGTAGAAATCATTTATACAATATAGTATCAACTTACTACACTATTACATACATACACAGTACACACATTTAAAAGTCAGGTGATATCTTCTTTGGAACCTAACGAATACATGAAACATAAAACGTACATACATGTCCAGACTATATATTATTGGAGATTATAATAGGTAGTATAAAAATTACATAGAAACTTTCATAAAACTAGCTATAGTAAGTTTAGAGGGTTTACACTTTACATAACTCTTAGACAATGTTTATAATTATAAAAAAGCTGTTAAATGGATGTCGGTCTGCTGTATAGTAGATTACAAGTGGGTCACTCTAATGGACGGTGTAAATTTGAATTCGATGATATAAAATGATTGTATACGAAAAACGATTCTGAGCGAAGACGGTCTGTCAGCCTATAATATTACTTAGTGATTTAGTATAATTGATGATATTATTGTGGTTTAAGTAATTTATTTTACTATTAAGCATTAATACTATAATAAGCTAAATTCATTTTTGCCAAAAAATTTAATTTTAAAAGTCGTTGAGTGTTGAAAATATATTAATATACTCAAACATTTTCATATCTCCACGAATAATATTTTTAAATTAGAACAAAATAATATACATCATTATTCTTGGTTATATTTGAACATAATAAAATAACTATAAAAAAACTGTGTTAGTATATTTTTCAGATTTTTTGGTTATGGAACTAACTACTTGTGTGCACCTTTGTTTTAAATGATCGAACTTTAGCAATAGAATGTAAAAATTTTATAAATATTTAACTACAAAATAATTTGTACATTTTCAATTTAATAAATTTTGTTAATTAAAAAAAACCGTGCCTATGTATTTTCAATTTTGACTACTTTTATAACAATATATTACCAGGAGCTTTGTATTAAAATTTCACTCTTTTGAATCAACAAATACAATTTTATTGACATTTAGAGAAAAGAAGGGTAAATTTAAAATGTCTGTAAACAGCTCAAAATGAGTCAAAATATTTTGAAATTTAATGGTGTATGGAAAATACTAATATCAAGGTTCAATAAAAACTACATGTATCTATGGTCATTTGGGTTAGAGCTACACTAAAACCAAAATAGATTTAGTCAAAAACCGGTTTTGAATAAAAACTCACGTTTTTCCTTAATTTTTGTTTGTTTTTCCCTGTGCTTTTGAAAGCAGTTGGGAATGTTTTATTCTCGAGTCCCCAAAATACAAATTACATTTACTTTTCTTCCAGAAAAGATGCTGTTGTAGCACAAAATTTTTTTTTTAAAAAAACACTTCACCGTAAAATCAATATATTCATCACTTCGCTCGGTATCTAAAATTACTAACTAACTACAGAAATATTATAATAAAAGATGAAACATATTATATTTTAGTCATTATAGCTAAAATTAGAGAAAAAAAATTATATTGGTAATGCTATTTTTACCTTATTACCGCAACACATCATATTAGCAATACTACTTTATTATAACAATTATTATTAAATATTATTACATAATTATTGTGATATTATTTTTTAAATATTTTTCTATTTGAACTAAAAATATACACCATTAAATAAAATAATTAATGAGACTGTCAAATAATTCTTAATAAATAAGCCAACCTACCCATGATCAAGAAAATGCAATGCAATTACACCCACCCACAATCAATCCAACACCCACCGCGCAGTATTAAATTATTTACACTTATATTTGCATAGTTATGTAACTACTGTAAATGGTACAATGAAAAAAAATTATAGTTATAAAAATAAAAATGTTTTACAAAAGTTGATGATTATGAGTTATGACAAATTTGTGAAATTATATCATTTAATGGTTTATTAAATGGCATAAAAAAAGATCAAGGGGTTATAACTATTTTTTTTTTATGCACATTTATCAGAAAATTGTATCTTGAGTTAAAGAAAAATATATAAATTAACTTAGTTTGAAAATGACAACTTTTACGTCATAAAATTTTCATGGAATAAGTCTTACAATTCCGAAAATATTTTGATTTTTACTATTCTAAATTAAAATATGTTAAAAAAAAAATCATTGAATGACACGAATAAAATAATAGTAAAATCTATTTTTAGACTTGTATGTCATAAACGGTTTTTTTTTGTTAGTTTTCCGAATTTAGTGTTTTTGATTTAATTTTTGTATCCACCTTCCGTTCCATTTAATCATTTTTATACGAAATTTACGAAATATTTTTACACGAAATTTCTAATTACCCATGCTTACTATATTTTAATAATTATTTTAGTGGTTACCTATATTATGCTATCAAAGGTATACGCTATACCCTTGCATTTCAATTATTATAAATATTTAATAACTAAAACTAATATTTATCAACTCAATGTAATATTTCAAAGAATTCAGACTTCAGTCTAATTAATTTCTTGTAGCTACCTTTATTTTATATTATTATTTATTTTAATTTAGATTGAATATTTTCAAAGTTGTTTTTGATTAAAAAAATGTTACAGTGTTATGAAGGTATACTATAATAATTATTGTAAGAACAACATTAACAGCGATTTTTTTACTGTGGCTTTATATTCGGATAAGGTATAAACCCTAGCTAGGGAGTAGGGACATTACTAAGGAGAACTGTATTCCCCAAAGTGGAAATTCAAATGATTAAAGGTAATATTTAAATCATTCACAATAATAAAAAAAGGTTGTTTAAATAACTATTAAAAATATTTACTTTAAAATTAAGAGATTCTACGAAGTAATTATAAATGAAAAAGCTATCCGATATTTTTCCCTAGTGGTTATAGGGAACTACACTATCAAGACGAATGTACATGATTACAGCTAGAGTACTCCACGAGCTGTTCAGTACATTAATACTATTTTGAATATTATAATACATAGGCGCGTCATATTAATTTATTATAACTCATAACCAGCTATAACTCTCAGAAAAGTGTGTAAATTGGTTAACCCTGGGTCTTTGTTTTGTATTTATGCATTTTTGGTGTCATATTAATATAAAAATGCGATATTTAAAATATTTAACCTAGCTGTAAAAAAATTAACGAAACCTTAACAATCGATTATATCATATTATGATTACTAGAAAAAATATTATGGTTAACTAATGGCCAAGTAGGTGAACCATATTTTTAATGATAAAAAAATAGCGAAATCGGTGATAGTTCTATACTACTTTATAGACAATAGACATTATACCGTTATAACGCAGTTATACATATTATTTTAAATCCCAAACAATTTTTATACGAAGCATTTTTAAGCTTTTTAACACAATATTATTAACTTACAACTCAGTTATTATAAGTTAATAATTCAGATGAGCGGGACAAGCAATTGTACCTCTTTACTGCTAAGTGACTTTGAACTAATACCGGTAAATGACTTGTGCCATGGAAACCTTATATACAATAATATATTATATTATTATGTAATCATAATGCAGCTATTGTGGTTAAGTTGATGTTCTTATTATGTTTGTGTGCACGTGTACTTAGGTCTTTAGAGATGAATAACGTAAACAGACGTAAACAAATATACAAACATATTTAAATTTTAATTAATAAAAAATTTAAATTGTCCTATGACCGTTTGAAATATTGATGCTATTGAAACTATTGAAAATAGTGTTTATACTTAATGTATAGATAGACATTTTAACGTTAGGTTAAGTTAAATCGGATCTATATTCATGTGAATTTTTTTTTGTTTTGCTGTTTGTTAGTCTTATTGTAAGTGGTCATCATTTTTTTTCCACAATTTTCGACTTTTGTAGACATTCACTCATAATGAGTCATTTGAATATAATATGCATTATGTTATGTTATATCTGCATGCTATGTCATTATACTACAACGAGGTAGACCATGTTATACAATATTATGATTATGCACACAGTACCTACACTTATAAAGTATTATCCGTCATGCCATTACAAAATATGATAATTGGATATTATATGAATGAGTATGATATTTATTTTATGGTTTTAATAAAAGATTAAATTTTACAATTTATTGTATTAAAAAGGATAATATACTATAAAATCACATTCGATTATACGTGTGTCGGAATATTTACCTGTTAACCTTTCTAATCGCTAATCCAACTGAAATTCGATAGTTATTGATGCATATTAATAGTATATACCCACATACTAAACCCACATCATAAATCTGAATGAAAAATAATGTAGAGTATACAGACAGCAGAATTACGATTCAATTACAACGTTTCAACGTCAACGATGAAAATTTACCCTATAAATAGTTAATATTCTCTAAAATACTTAGGTATTGAACAGTTCGATTTACCTATTCGTTATTATTAAGAGGACATTTCAATGACATTTACGGTCTCACCATCTAACAACGTGGGAAATAATTTTGCTTAGTATTTGTATCACGTCTCAGGTTGAATTTTATGAAGAAAATCGCTTCGGTGAAATATCAAGTTGAAATGTGAGATTCTTGTCTATAATAATAATTTTTACGCCAGTTCTCTTATCTCAGCCATATTTTAACTTTAAATGAAGGTCGTGAGGATAAGCGTACCTATAATAATGTATAATATTTTAACTCTATTCTAAAATAGGTGTTTCTAATTAATAATATATAGGTAGTACTCCTTTGCGAATTTTTTACGTTATACTTGTACAATTTCATCTCAGAAAAAATTAGCGAAAAAGTACTGTTATTTACTATTTGATAATATTTAAATATATATGGTTATATGGGTAGGTACACATAATAATATATAGACAGGTGGTACTCACGAATCGTTGTCGTCGCCGGACAGTGAAGTCGAGAGTTTTGGAGAAATCGTCGGGAATACGAAAAATATCTAAACCGAAATCGAAACCGGCGAAAAACAATAGTAACAAATAATCGTATTGGTATACGATAGAATTATAAACGTGGTCGTGGTTAACGCGACCCGAGACGAAACGACATCGCGGAACGTATGTTGGCGACTGTCTGCTTTGGCCGAACGGGGTTAGAGAGTGTGTTGCGCGGTGCACACGATTTATTATTTTCCTATTTTTTTCTATATTTTTTTTTCAACGAAAATCGCGATACGTTTTTCGTCGTCGACGACGAACAATATTATTGAAGATCACGCGCTCGTCACGCCGCCACAGCCGTCGTCGTCTGTCGGTCTTACACGCATTTCGAGTTCGGGGGGACTGTTGTAAAGTCGCGGCGGTGGCGCTTGGCTGGCGTGTCGGATTGGCGGGCGGAGCGGCGGCAAAACGGAGCGCTAATGTCCGCGAGTGACTGGTGGCGGAGAACGCACACCGACTGTCGTGTGAACATCCGTCGGTCGACGACGGGGGCAATATAATATATATGACTACGAAAAAAAAAAACAGCAACAATATTCATACGATCAACACGCATCGCGGTGGAAACGATCGCGAACAGTTTAATATTACTATCGTATTACATTAAATTTCAAATCTTGGTTGATAAGCGGGTGAGCGGGATGATCGTCGACATTGTATCGAACCATAAATATGACGAACACACCGGCCGTAGCTTGGATTCGATACGAAAACGCCACGTGCAATTTTAGTAAAGACTACACAGTTGAAAATATATATATATAGTATCATATTATTATACTACATGCATATTATTTGGTACTGAATTATATAATAACAGTATAACGAAAATATTGAAATAACACTGTAAAATAATATGCGATAAAAAAAATGCGAGTTTTCCATGTTAAACGCATTAATTTTTTATACTAATAATATTATAACCACGAATATCATTCAGCTGTACGTAAACCCAGGATGCATATTGATTGGTCCACGCGTTTAATTGAGTTATTTTCATTGTAATAAATTCTACAACGCATATAATATACTCTCTGAAAACTGATTATTGGTTTTTTAATTTCTATTTTGAAAGGAGAAAAATGATAATAAACAATATAGTGACTATTTTGTGGTCACATTAAATTTTTTTAAATTAAAATTATGATATTTGAAAAAGGAGCAGCAGTTTTTTTTAATCGTGCTGATGAAAATAATATTATGAGAGTTGAGAAAAAAAGGTGAATACAAACTATAAAATTTGTTTAGACATGCTTTCGTACATCATCTCATTCATCACAAATTTTACTGAATGATACTGTATGCAGTATATTAGGTATATTATCCTATTTACATGACTGGGTACATTTGTTCACGTTCACAAAATATATTGTATATATTACTCGACTGCTGTATCATGTGGTTGCGTAACTAGGACATCATGACATATTATATTCAACGAGGTCGCAACAAAATTTAAAAAAAACCAGCTTAACTGACTTGTAAAGTGATAAATATGATATAATAATGCATTAGAATGGTTTTTTAAATGTTGGGTTGAAATAACAATTTTAGTTTTAATAAAAAAAAAAAACATTCGTGTTTCTTTGTTTAAGCCACCAATTTCATAGGTGAACTTAAAAAAATAGATCACTTACTCAAACTTACTCATGCGAATAATGTGATACACATATTTATCAGTGCATTGGTATTCATCTTCATTATTCTTTATTATTCATTTTAAACTTTTAGGGTTAAAATCGTATTATCACTCCACTAACTACAATATTTATGATGTAATAGTAGTATTATAGTACCTACAGGCTACAATCCAATTTACTCCTAACTTCAACAGTTAAAATGTATTACTTAATACTGCTCCGTGGTTTCAAAAATAATCAACCCGTTTAAAAAGATTATGAAAATTAATTTTTTCAAATCAACACAACTAATGAAAAGTGTGCAGAATACTTTAATCATGCTTCAAAGTACACATTCTAACTATTATTGATTGAGGCAGTGACTACACACACGCAATACTAACAAACAAGTAATAAATAATATTGATAATAACAAAGACAGTAGTGTGAATAATAATACTGATAATGTTTTTCAATAAGATTATGCTTCAGCAATGTATAACATTAATCAGGAAGTCGGGAATAATAATCAAGAATCTAGTTTAATGTATTTTGGAACATACTATGCATGGGTATCATCGTACAGTTATAATGAATCACTGACCTAAATTGTATACATTTTACTTTTTACTAGTAGTTTTTTAAAAGCAATGGCTTACATTTTTTTTTTACAAAACTCCTAACATAGAAACCAACATAATAAAAAAAATATATCTATCCTATGACGACTGAAGAGCGGAATGAATAGATTGAATATTTCCACTCAATAATGCACCTATATTGCCTATACAATACGCCGTTCGACTTATTGTATTTTATGTATTGGTATTAGATATTATATAATGTATTATATATTTTCATGTTTGACAAGCGTCATAAATTGAACCTTAAAATAAAAAAAACAATATTGTGCTCCATCAAGTTCTACTAATTACAGTACATTTTGGTTGAAAAACCAAAAAAAAAATATATTTTCGTTTTATAACTTTTTGATATAAAAACATTGAATATTGACTTAATATGACGAGTTATTATCAACAAACAATAAAAATTGAAAATTTAGATAAGCACTCCACTCTTATATTGTTCTAAGATTTCAAATTTACCTAGATATTCCAGGATAAGCATTGGATCGTGAAAAAAATGACTAATAATATAATATTCATAATAATACCTACTTGTTTACGATTTTGTTTGCTTGATAATACACCTAAATGTGACTATCTGAGCATTAATTATAATATCAATATAAATTATGTATGAAGTTTTTGGACAAATAAAATAAAACCACACAAGATTTATTTTGTAAAACCAATTATTAACCTAACCTACTAAACCGCTCCACTCTACATAAAAAACAAAGAAATGCGTGTATTCTACGAATGTAATATTATATACTTACTCCAATTATTTATTTAGATCTTCGAAAAAAATGTTAAAAGTTAAAAAGAATATTATATATAAGTCGGGAGAGTCACTACCCATAAATTACCCATTTAAGTAGAGATAATTATAATATAAAATGTCTGGGCACAGTTTTTGTAGGGTTTAATTTAATTAATTAAAAAAAAAATTATTATACAATTCATTTTTGTTGCAACAATACCAGATACCACTCTGTTTTTTGTGACGTACGTTATTTAATATTTACCGGAGTATAGGTATTATGTGTTAATACGATACCACTGCCCCTGCATAATCACTATTCTTGGAATTGTTTTCCCCTGTCAATGCAATTCTTCTACTATTGACGATTTGACATACGATAAAATAATAATGCCACTCTATAATATTACCATAGTAATTTGCATACTTGGGATTCTTGCAAATACTTGTACATATTATATGAAGTATAAATATATATGGGCGAGTCACAGAAATATGTGTAATGCGGTATACACTTACGTATTATGATAACTGTTTACATAAATTGTTTTATCGAGTGAACATATCACATTTCAAACAGAGGAAATATGAAGATATACTATGTTATATTATATGTTTTTAATTAAATATTCCAAACGCAACTCATTCTGAGCTGAGCGACTGTATAGTGATGAGCATTAAGCATTCATTTTAAAACGATGTGAGTATTTAAATTTTTTGGGTAAAGGCAAAATCTCTAGTGTCATACAGCCATATACCTCATATTCGAGTATAAAGTCTATGTTTGTGGTACATCTTTAAATTATTATTAAGAGGTTACGTTAATAATTGCCAGCTGGGAACTATGCACATTGCACACCCATAACGAAATACATTATCACTTGTAGCCTAGGTGGTTTATAAAATCCTTCACAAAACACAATATTGTAATTTATATCGAATGTGGATTGACATAATATTATTAAAGCGAATATAAAAATGTCACTCGCTAAAGAATCACCAACAGATTACGGTCATTTTTTGTTGCGATGTTTTGGTAACATCGACGATATTTAAATCTGCTTGTTCTTGAGTACGTGAAATGGAAATGACACGACGGTTATACGATACACGAATAATTTGTTCGAGTGGAAAAACAGATACGAAATAATAAACAAAATTATTTTATATGGGCTATAGGTAGGTATCATTGATTTTTAGATACATTGTACAATGAACATACACGTAAGTACGTAATATATGCAGTTTTCAGTGACGCTTTGTTAAGGCTATCGTATAGTTGTAGTAGTTACTTATTGCTGTTTTACTTTTGAATAGAATCAACATATTCATATGTACCTACATATTTTATGAACACAAACACGCCGAGAAAGTATTTCGTAAATTTTATTGAAAATAAAGGAATAGAATACTGATCCTGTTACAATGACCAACGAATAATGATTGATTGCATAGTAATTCAAAATTAAGAATGTTGAATTTGAATAATCTAAACCATCTGTTGACATTATAGGTTTCTTTTATGACTGGCAAAAAATTTGAAAAACATTGTCAAGTCATTTATATTTTGTGACAAAAAATTGTTCAATAGGACAATACAATAGACATTCTTATTAATTAAAAGTATGACGTTTAAAATAATATCATTACCGTGTGATAAAATGGTAAACTTCTACCACTACTTAAATATATTATAAAGTAAAGCGACGTTTTGTTTGTCGATATGAAATTTAATGTATCAAACAAAAAAATCATCTATTTAAAAATTAACGAAAATGAATGATTATTAGGAAATTACTAATCTCCAGCAGTGTGGATTTTTTAAACATTCCATAAGTGTGCTTTAGGTTTGTTAAAATCGAAAGTTATAAAAAAGTTAAAATAAAATCTTGTATTTATAGTTCAATGATTTAAAAACCTTCATTTTCATTATTCCAGATGAAATAATTCATAAAATATAATATAATGAGTTATCGTTACATTCGATTAAAATACAAACCACTTATTTTACTTTTTTATTATAGCTTTCTTGGAAATCAATAATTTTATAGATAGGCATCCATAAAATGTAAAACATTCAATTTCAAGTATAATGACAATTATTAATTTTCACGAGGAAGAAGAAATGAGTAAAATAAATATTTTGTATTTTAATACAATGATAATTCATTATAATACGGTTTATGAATTATTCCATCTGAAATTCTGAATGGGAAGGATTTTGAATAATATTACTTCTACGTCTTAAAATATATTACGGTATGCCAGTCAATGCTTCTAACTTGAAAGCTTTAACGTCAATCTTTCCTAAATTGGCAGTGTGCATTTAAGTATTATTTTTTTCTTTTTGATAATAAAGGTAATACAATTGCAGTTATTAACACATTTAAATCTCAATCTGTTCATAAACTAGTTATGATTGGTAATTCCG